CTCCCCGTCTGCCTGACAGCTATAAAGGCGGCTGCGGCCACAGAGCCGCCACTGGGCTGCGCCCCTCCCCTCCAGGATCCCCTCCCTCAGATGCACTTTGAAGTGGGAGAGGGAGGCGGCCAGGCCAGCGGCTGGAGGAGAGAGGCAGAGCTGCACGTCCCCCTGGCCTCCGGTCGGTTTCGCTGGCTGCGCACCTGGTGCTGGCCCCTGCTCTGGGAGGACAACCTGCTGAGGCCTGGCCAGGTAGGCCACTGAGTCCCTGTCCCTGTCACGTCGCAGCCTGCTGGGGGCCTGAGTTCAGTTCGTCCAGCTGCCCAGAGGAGGGGCTGAGCAGCCCCCCAGGCTCCAGGGTGCCCTTATCCACAGGAGGACCAGAGACCTGACCCGCAGAGGCAGGCACAGGACCGCCCTGTCACCTCAGCCCGTGCCCCAGTTGCCTGCTCTATAAGCCCCTCCTGCGGCTGCTGCTGGTTTGGGACCCCGGGGAGGGATGGATCCACACAGGCCAGCCTGGCTGGAGGCCAGCGGCGTCTGGGAGCCTAATGAAAACCAAGTGTGCGCGCAGTGCTCTCGGCACCTGTCTTCAGCCGTGGGTAGGGCTGGGTGCCAGGGAGCATATGGGCCAGCCAGGGCTCTGCGACCCGGGGGCTGGGGTGCAGAAGGAGCTGGTGGAATGGGGACCCTCGAGGGCAAGATGTGTGCCCCTGTGGGGCGAGGGTGCGGCTAGCTGGCTCCAACACCTGCCCTGCCCAGCCTGAGGAAGGGAGCCCTGAGGTGCGGGGAGGGCAGGGCTGGCCTCACGGGTGCAGTTGGGCAACCTCCACATTGCCCCAAGGGACCTGGGTGTGAGTCGAGCCCTATGTGTCTGGGGAGGTCAGCTTTCATCTCTGGGCTGCGTGGATTGGGAAACCCCTCCTCTAACTCCCCAGCGAGTGAGGCTCACTGGAGACAAACCCTGGTTCTCCTCTCCCTCCCTACTAGGGCAGGGTCAGAGCTGAGGTCAGGGGTGGATTGGATCGCTGGGAACTGACCCCAGTGTGACCCTGACAGTGCTGGGAGGGGTCAGCCAGATGGCCCTGGGCTGCAGTCATAAGCTGCTTTCCACCCTCTCTGCAACTGCATCTTCCCAGGTGCAGGGTGCCAATTCCTGGGGGATCTCATCAAGGATGCTCACCTGAGGTTCTCTGGGCACGACTGTGCAGGAGGGCAGGGTGCACAATGGCAGGTGCAGGGCTGATCTGGCCCTTGGTGCTCCTGTCCTTTGCCACACTGACCCCCCAGGCTGGGCCTCCTGCCCCGAAGCTCTCCATGGTGTCTGCAGGGAGCTCGGGCCTGGAAGCAAAGCGTGAAGCCTCCCTGTGTGCCCTCAGGTCAAGGGTGTCCCAGATGGCACACATGTCACCTGTCTACGTCCAGGCCTAGACAGACCTCTTTAATCACTTCCCGAGTGCCTTCTTGCTGAACTCAATGACGAGCAGCCATAATCAGCCGATCCCAGACAACCTTGCCCCCTGGCATCCTGGGTGACCCTTGGAGACCTCCCCCAAGCCGGCTCTGGCCAGGTAGTGACAGTGGCCTTGATTCCTAGGATGGATGGAGGATGGCAGTGTTCACAATGGGCCTGGTCCTTGCTGGCCATGGCGGTGGTGGCTGGGGGTGCAGCATCCACAGAGCTCTCGGTGAGTGGGGTGTCATTGTCTCGGGCCCTCACTCAGCCGCACGGGCAGGTGTAGTCACCCAAGACAGACTGCCTGGATGCATTGTGAGGTGGGTGTGGGGCACAGGCCCAGGGTCACAGAGGCACCGGTTCCCAGGACCTGTTCACAGCCAGTCAGACGGGCCCTGAGCTGGGGTTTGGCATCCCGAGCCCCTAGCCACAAGCCAGATAGTGGATGGAGGTGGCTGATGCTCTCCTGCCGAGAAAGGCTGAGCTGCGTCCCCCAGGGTGCGTGGAAGACAGTGGGCCAGTTAGCCGAGGCCTCTGGAGCTTGCCAAGCCCCCATATTCAGGCTTTAAGACCAGGGGACCCTCGGGCCTGGTGCTGGGAGACCTGAGCCTGGGTTGTATACTCCAGTTTAGCTACCAGAGGGGCCTTCGGGTGCGGGGAGAGCCCTGTCTTGCTGGGCACTTGAGCCTTCCTCCAACCACCCACAGGTCTCTCCCCAGGAGAACAGCCCCACATCCAACAGCCTGGAGGGTGGCGCTGACGCCACCGCCTACTGGTGGGGGGAGTGGACCAAGTGGACCGCGTGCTCCCGCAGCTGCGGAGGTGGGGTGACGTCCCAGGAGCGGCACTGTCTGCAGCAGAGGTGGGGGCACCGCGTGGACAGAGGCTGGCACAGGGCAAGGTGGGGTGGGCACCCAGGCCCAGGTGCTGGTGGCTGTCAAGCGGGAGGCAGCAGGGGCTCCCTCTCCCTAGTGCCTCCATCCTGGATTTGCAGCCCCCCAGGTCCCAGGAGGCCTCCCTGTGGAGAAGCAGGATCTGCTTCCCGGGGCTCTGGTTTGAGGGCCCAGACCCTTGGCCTGCTCTTCCACAGGCTTGAGCCTGATGGACATGGGGCGGATTACGGCGTGCGTGGGCTGAAAGCCCTCTGTCACACGGACCTGGGTTTCAATCTTGCCTCTGCTGCTCTCTGGCGAGCCGCTCGACCCCTCCGCGCACCCGCTTCCTCATGGGCAGCACGGGGGGAGCAGGGGACCCCGGCGACCCCGGCGACGTGTCTCAGCCGGCATGGCCTTGTGTGCTAGCATGAGCCACAGGTCTGTGCCTGCAAGTGTGGTGCTGTTAACACGGGCTCTGGGCTCTGAGACCTGGTGCTACCTCCTTCCTGGGGCTGGGAGGGTGGTTCTGGAAGCCTTGGCCGCAGGGCCACCCCAGGGCCACTCCTGAGCTGTGACACTCTCTCAGCACTTGTCTTCCTGCTAGGAGGAAGTCCGCCCTGGGTGCCGGCAACAGGACCTGCACTGGCACAGCCAAGCGCCACCAGCTCTGCAGCCTGGAGGTGAGGCCGAGGCCTGGGATGTTGCTTCCCCTCCTGACGTGGGTTCCCTGCTGGCCCCCACATGCATCTCAGCACCCTTCAAGGGCAGTCTGGGCAGGGCTGGGGCACTCAGACTGCAGTGTGTCGTGGACCCTGCCCTGTCCCCTGGGCCACTTCTTGGGGCCTTGCCAGCTCCTACCCTGGTGTTCATCGCAGCTGCCTGGGGTCCCAGGTCTCCACAGCTTCATCAGCCTGGGCCAGCATGGAGGCGGCAGAGGCCGAGGCTGGGGAGGAGGTGGAGGCTGGCCCGGCCCCGGGGTGGCTGTCAATGGGGCTGGTCAGTCTGGACCTCAACACCTGCCCCCGGAACACGGGGTATGGGACAAGGGTATTGGTCCACGCAGGCCGGGAGGTGTTGTCGCTGGGGTCAGTTTCACACTGCAGTGCACAGGAGCGCAAGTGGCCATAGCTTCTGCACTGAGGTCCCCGGTCAGCTGCCCTCTCGGGATGGTGCTGCTGGGCTCAGTGGACGCTTGTGAGCTCCCGGGACAGATACCCCGCCTGACTATGCCAGGCCATTGAGGTGACCCTCCCTCTCCCGGGCTCCTCTGGATGCAGTCCCTGCCTGTGGCCATCCATAGTACCAGCCCTGAGCACACCGCACACCGCAGGGTCTGCTGAGGACAGAGGGCGGGGGGGGGCACTGGCGGGCAGCGCCTGGCATCCTGGCCCCTCTGCCTACGGCTGGGGGGAAAGCTGGGGCAGGGGACAGGAAGGGTGTCAGGCAGAACATGATGGGGGTACCTGCCACACTGGAGAGTGGGCGCTGCCCTTCCTGAGCGTGGTAGACAGAGCCAGGGGACGGAGGCCACCCGTGCTGGAGCCCTGCTCCTCTTCCAGGAGTGCCCGCCGGACGGGAGGAGCTTCCGCGAGGAGCAGTGCGTCTCCTTCAACTCCCGCGTGTTCGACGGGCGGACCTACCGGTGGAAGCCCCTGTACCCTGGTACCTACCGCCCCGGAGCCTGCTTTGCAGAGGTGGAGGGTCCGCACAGTCCCCAGGGCCGGCCCTGACTGGTGGGTGGGCGGGGAAACTGAGTCTGGGAGCAGGGGTCTCTAGAGACAGCTCTGGAGCCAGAAAGGGGCCCCAGATCTTCTGAGGGGGGCCTGGGGTCTTCCCCCCTCCCCATACCCAAGGCATCAGCCCTGGGCAGGTCATGGGGCTGAGCTTCCTGTAGGCCTGACCTCCAAGGTCAGGACTGTTCCACTTACTGGCCAGGGGCTTGGACAGGAACCAGCCCAGACAATCCTAGACTGGACACGGTCCCATGGGGCCCGGGGTGGGGTGACAGCCGCTCTCTGCCTGTCTCTGTCTCTCGGGAAGAGGAAGCGAGTTGTTCAGACAACAGTGTAGAAGAGTTGGCCTCTCCTGCTTCCTGGGGCTGCATTGTGCTGGGGCTCCAGGCCATGCCTTTGGCTCAGTGGGCTGCTGTGGCCTGAGGCTTGAGAACTGCCACCAAGACCCTGACGTCCCTTCTGCACTCACGGCCCCAGTTCCTATTCTTGCAAAGGGAGGCTCCCGTCTCGCAGGAGGAGAGGGGCAGAGCCTGCCCCGCATGCTGAGCCCCTCTCATCCCCAGATGACTATGTGCACATCTCCAGCAAGCCCTGCGACCTGCACTGCACCACGGTGGACGGCCAGCGGCAGCTCATGGTGTCTGCCCGCGATGGCACATCCTGCAAGCTCACTGACCTGCGAGGGGTTTGCGTGTCTGGAAAATGTGAGGTTGTTAAACGTTGCAGCGGAAGTCCAACTGGTCTGGCTGTGCCGGCCGCCTGGGCGGTGGTGGCCACGCCCTGTGCCCCCAACAGCGTCTTCCTGCTTCTTGCAGCCCATCGGCTGTGACGGGGTGCTGTTCTCTACCCACACGCTGGACAAGTGCGGCATCTGCCAGGGCAATGGGAGCAGCTGCACCCACGTGACTGGAAACTACCGCAAGGGCAACGCGCCTCTCGGTAAGGCTGCCCCTGCTCCTGCTTACCCGGGGGATGGACGGGCCCTCTGTGGGGCCCTCTGACTAGCAACACCCAGTGGCTCTTTCCTGAATGTCCACTGCCTACCAGAGGACCCTGGGCATGAAGATCATGTTTGACTTTTAAGTCAGCTGCATGGCAGTGTGACCACCGTACTAGGAAGGGGGAAATGGAGGCACGAATGCAGGTTTTGGAGCTGCCAGGAGACCTGCCTGTGGGCACTCGAGATGCCGGGCTGAGTCTCAGAGTATTCTCCCCTGGGCCTGACTCCCTGCAGCCCTCTGTCCCCAGCAGCACTGTCCCTCCTCAAAGCCGCTCTTTGTTTGGCCTTGTGTTTGTGTGCGGAGCTGGCCCGGCCCTCCAGGCCGTCAGGGCGAGTGACTGGCCTTCATAGTTTCAGAAGGATGTCACTTTGAATGCTTGGTGTTCGACCGGACTCCTCTCTGGTCGTACAACCGCCAGATGGTGGGGAGGCAGGGCAACTTGAACCCACTCAGCAGATGGGGAAACTGAGTCTAGGCAAGTCTGGACTACAGCTGATCCTGTTGGGGCTGCCGGTTGGTCCAGCAGGTAGAGGAAGGGCTGCTCTACATGGGGACAGCATGGAATAGTGAGGGACCAGGAGGCTGGGGCATGGATGTGGGCCCAGGGCAGGGCATGCGGGGCTGAGGGACAGGGAGGGGATGGGGCAGGCGGGGCAACCAGACACTTGTGACCTGTGCGCGTTGTCTCCCCGGGCAGCCGAGGGACAGGAGCAGGTACAGCACAGCTGGAGCTCTATGTACCCCACCTCCTGCCACACATCTGCTCTCACAGCCTTCCACGGGCCGGGGGCAAGGAGATGGGATGAGCAGTCGGGCAGCGTATCTCTCTCCTAGCGCCTTGACCATGCCAGGCTCTGTGAGTGACGGCAAGGCTCTGATCAGGCCCATGTCCTGGCTGAGCCCCCACAGCGGATGGGAGCCAGCCTGGAACCTGTCCCAGTGGATCTGCCAGTGCTTCCATTCCAGGCACCAAGCCAGGGCTGGCAGAATGGTAACCAGGCAGGTAATAAGACTGCTGCCCTAAGCCATGGGACAGACAGAGTAGCAGAGTCACCTGAGGTCCCACAGCCCACAGGGTGGGGCTGCATCAGAGCCCATCAGCCCCCGCATGGGATCTGTGTCCTGGCTGCCGACCCATGCGTGTGGTTCTTGCCCCACTGGTGCTTGTGTCACAGCAAGGGCCAGGTGAGCAGCAGCGCCCTGAACTGTGTGAGCTCCACGGTGGCTCCAACACCGGAGTGTGCACACCTGAATTTAAATCAACTGCACCTAACAGGCGTGCTCAGGTTTTTGTCCCCATCCTGGGTGCTGCTGGTTTGCGGTGGAAACACCATGTACCGTAGGCTACTGCGGCTCTGCTCGGCTCCGCACGGGGACAGCACCTGGTCATTTGCTACAGGTCATGGCGACAGAGTTGATGGCACAGAAATAGCTGATGGGGCCAACCCCACACCTCACTGGGCACCATTTACCTGCACTGCTGGAGTGAGGGTCAGGCCAGGACCCTGGGGATCTGTGGGATGAGGGTGGGGCCTGGTCCTCTGTCCTAGGGGCTCCTCTGGCCATTCCTTACCCCTGCAGGTGGCACACCCCCACCCCAGGCCCTCAGCCCCTGTTTTACTCTGAGGACCCCGTCCGTGGTGGCCTCCCCTCTTGGCCATCCTGGGGCAGGCCTCAGCCGGCCAGCACGGGGACCCGCAGGGCCGCCGGGCTCCATCTGCAGGTCTCCCGAGCTTTGTCGGCGAGATTTAGAGGTGACAAGGTGACAGTGCAGGTGGCACTGTGCCTGCATACAGATGAGGAAGCTGAGACCCAGGAGCCCAGCAGTTGTCCAGGGCTTCTTGGTGATAGCGGAGGGCAGGATTGAAGTTGGTGATGCCAGTGTTTGTGGCCCCTGTGTTTCGCAGTGCTCACTGGGAAGGCTGAGGTGGGCACCAGCAAGGGCAGGCAGTTCCTTTCGCCTTGGTGGGCATGGGTCAGGTGCCCAAGGAAGGGTCAGCGTTGGGATGGCACGGGGTGTTTGGCAGGGCGGGAGGCCTCTGCCCCCTTAGACAGCCGCCTCCCCCATCGCTCAGGGTGGCACCTGCCACCCACATGTGACTCTCACTGTCCACTCCCCTCCCTCCATGTCGCCCCAGGAGGGCTCTGTGGGCCATGCCCGCTCACTGCTGTCTGTGTGCCCGCAGGTTACTCCCTGGTGACTCACATCCCGGCCGGTGCCCGGGACATCCAGATCGTGGAGAGGAAGAAGTCTGCAGACATGCTAGGTTAGCAGCTGGTGCTGGGGCAGGGTCAGCAGGGGGAGGGGGCTCCTGAGGGGCCCGGGCCGGGG